AGATAGCCAAATTTTCTTACCCACTGTGCTCCGCTGCGCGTGCTTCGCGCACCCAAGAGTACCGCTATTCGTTATTACCATTTTTACTTAACCAATAAAAAAGCCTTGACTCTGCTCTGTTCTGTTGCTCTGTGGTGTAGCGGTCAGGAAGCGGCTAGAGCACGAAAGAAGTGCAGGGAAAAACACGAGGAATAGGCGAGAAGTTTCTCCCAACTTCTTGAGTGCCCTAGCTACTTCCTAAGTACTTTGCAACAGAACAGAGTACAGTGAAGGCTTCTTTATTTGTTTTATGATAAAGAATCCGTTTGATTTTCCACGCATTACTTTCTCACCTTTCAAAACGTGGCGTGACAGCTTTAGCCCCGTTTTGTTATATTCTAATCCGGGGGGAGGGGGTTACTCAACAAATTTTTATACGGGGAGGCTCCGCCACCAGGTCCAACCCCTTACCCTTTTATGTACCATTTTTCACGAAAAAGTTACCCCTTTCGTATACCTTCTACTGACAAATGGTACCCCATTCATATTCCTCGTTTAGAACTTTGCATCCTACCCTTGCTTGCTCTGACTGCTCTGATCTTGATCTTCGCCTCTATCCACAGGTATACCAAGCTCGAAAGTACGAATCGTTGCTGGGTAACGTAAATTTTAGGGGTTTGAATTGGATTTTTAGCGACCGCTGCTTGGGAATCTAAAAATACAGTGAAACCTCTATTAAGCAGATTAAGCGGACACCTTCGGGACCTTCCCAAGTGTCCGCTTAATAGAGGGTGTCCGCCTTATAGAAGTTTGTAAAAATTGCGCAATGTTTGTTAAAGATTAACATTCAATGGTTACTCTGTACTGTGATAAAGTTCCATGAAGAAGTGCTGTACTTTGGTCAAGACTTTTAGGTGAACTTTGATCGTAGATGACAATCCTACGGGGACGTAGTGTAGAAAATACGAGAAGAAAAGCATTCACTGAACTCAAGTTCTGTTTTTCTACAGTTATGAGTGTATGAGTCAGGGAAGAGTCTGGGAATTCTTGGTCGGGGTGTGCCGCCTAGTTCTTCAAATCCTGACCC